GAGGGTGAGGTGGGGTGGGGTAGGGCGGGGGCGCGGCGGCGACGAGAGACGCGGGGAAGAGGCAGGGGAACGGGAAAGTGCAAACATATGGCAAAAAAAGAGAAATATGTTGAACAACGAAAAGAGAAAATCGCCACACTGCGATAAGCCTCGAGCGATTATCAGCTGTGCAAACCTTCGCTCGAAGGAATTTGTAAAATCAACATTTACCGAAGATGTTGGAAAACATGTTTGATGAATCTTCGAAGCAGCGAGAGAATGGTACGATAATATCGTTTCGCAGTTGATTTTCACATGATTACCGTTTAACACGATCGACACTCGAAACGACGATCTTTGTTATCCCCCTCTCTCTCTCTCTCTCTCTCTCTCTCTCTCTCTCTCTCCCCCCTCTCCCTTCCTCGCCCTCTCTTGGTTTCTCGCTCTCTCGGTCTCTCTCTGATTTTTTCGAGCCAAGTGGCGCTAGACCGTCCCGCGAGAGAATATCGATTCGAGTGCCGCGACCGAGCGTGCGGTTTCTTCGTAAAACTCCTTTAACCAACTGTCCGCTAAAGTTTTCGTTCTTTGGATAAAGATTGAAACGTATCAAATTTTTTCTTCTTTTTCTTCCACTTTTCTTACGACCTCCATTACACACCGAGATGCGTACATCTTTTAGGCACGTTTTACGTCGATATGCGACGCGAGGTATACGCGTAGGGCTGTACAGAAGATTCCGAGAAACATCGAAAGCCATAGATAACGTGGGTTTTTTCGTTGCAAACGCGACATAGCGTTTCGATCGTATCGACTCGGTTCGAGTAAATGTTTCGAATAGATCGCTTCGCGCAGACGAATACAAATGCGCGGGAATATACGTTAATGCGATTGGAATGCCACTGAAATTAAAGCCACCTTTCACGGGAATGTAATGACTCTTTATAAACTCCGACGTAACCCCTGTTTCCTCGGGCCACGCGGCACACTCCGTTGCCATCACTGTCGTGTCCTACTTTCTTGGAATATTCGAGTAACCGAGTATCGGTAGATAACACGCGTTTGACGAGCGTTAAACGTGCCATCTATTGCCGGTTCTAGTTAGTTCTTCCGATTGGAAAGAAGACATTTTTAGTAGCTAGTTTCCCTTCTACACCTTCCAATCTGGCACGAACGCGGTTAAACCGACGCGAATCCCTCTGGATACCGATTCGTTTTGGTTATATGCTAGTTCTCGAACCTCGAAAAAAGAAGAAAAGACATTTGCGTAGGCGAGAGATATTTTAACCAAGGATACTTACGACACTTGCGTGTATCCTTCGTTACCGTACGATCGAAAGATATATCGTCGATTCGTTGGATTCTTTTTTTTCTTTCGAGGAGAAAAAGAAAATGTTCGTATATATATACCTCTCTGTCGTGCATCCCTTTCGTCATCGTTGGCCGCGGTCGCGCGCGCGTCATACGTCGCGAGTCCTCTTTCCTCTGTCCGTTGAGCTGTCGTTCTCTTTCAATCCTGTATACACACTACTTTCCTCCGCTCCCGCCACACTACGAAGACCCCACTCCTACTTCTTGGCCCCTCTCCATGTTTCAAACCGACCCCTTTCTTCTACGGTGTAGCGATCACAGCTTGTTAACTGGGCCACGAACCACGAATGTTATTCGCGTGATTCAACGTGGTTCTGAAATAAAATCCCATGTCCATGCAAGAAACACACGAGAGGGGTATTTAACGTTACCGCTTCGGTATCCGACAGTAAACGCGTGATTCGAACGTTTCGGACTATATATCGATATAACTGGATGTCAAACGATTCGATCTCATTCGAGAACGAGCTCGGAATCACGTTCGATTGTAGTTGGTGTTTCGACAGACGGGCGGTTGATGCTCGAGGAGAATTATTTTTATTTCCATGTGAGAATAAATCGACGAGGTTCGTAATTGGAGCATAATATATATATATATATATATATATGCGAACGAGTATCGTTGGTTGGACGAGATATAAAGAAGACGAACGTAGAGATACGGAGGAAAGAAAGAAAGACGTGGATGCTGTTTGCTCATGGCGCTTGTAGAATTTTTCGCAAATGGTTAGACACGTAGTATACGTGTAATACTTATGCCCGTGTCGTGTGATTTCGTGTCGTTTCGTTGCATCGGATCCTATCGCGATATACGTGCATAGAGCGAGTACGTAAGGCAGGGGGCGCGCGCGTCTACTCCCCTATCGAGAGATCTATCCCCACTATTGAAGCGTGCCAGAAAATGAACCTCCTTCAATCATTCCCGCGCCGGCCGCCGCGAGGAGCGCGCGTCGTTTTGCCACGCTGTCACGAGTTACGCCACGAGTCGAATACGTTGTGTATATTACGTAGCGATTTGTATTTTGGTTACTTGTTACGTTTTAATAAGATCGTCGTATAGGTGTTTATCCAGACGGATATAGCGTAAGGAAAAAACGTAGTGATGTGGTGAAAACGTGTTGCTTGACAAGTGTCGACGTGTGCATAGACGGTCGCATGACAAGGGATCCTCGCGAATCGAATCGAATCGAATCGAATCGAATCGAATCGTTTGGTTTCGTTGTTTCGTTTCATTTCGTTTCGTCTGGTTTCTTTTCGCTTCGCTTCTGTATTTTCGATCGTATATAGTTTTCTTTCGAGTTATTTGCTTTCGAACCGAATGATTTTTGCAGAAAGAGGCTGTGTGTTTTAAAAGAGACGGATTCATCGTGGTACATTAACGGTATCGCGGCACGTTGCTCGTTGCACGTGCATTCGATAACCTGGATCTCGTCCCGACGAGTCGTCGGTTCGTCTTATCGGTAAGTGATCGATTTTTGAATTGCGTTTCGATTAACGCGTTATATATCTATTTTGCTGGAAATTTCTTAAATATTTCGCGAATCACCGATCGAACAAACGAATAGCAACGCCGTGGCGATGTTACGATTTGTTATTTCGTGGAACAATCGTATTTGCTTTCGAGATGTATTGGAGATAAACTAGCAACGCCATCTGTCGGGTGTCGGTTGAACTGGAGGAATGACGCTGAAAACTGGCTCAGATCGTTGGAGTTTCGGAGTCTCGTTTGGCGAATCGAATTGACCAACGAGAAGAAACCTTGGCTCGCGTTTTACCGTTGCATTTATCGAATTTATACCACGATTATGCCGCGATTATGCCGCGATACGAACGAAACTCGTTTACGTTTCGTTGTATTTATCCCGAATAGAAAATGGAGACGACACGCGGAACGTTTTATCCGTTTTGTTATGTGCGGAGGTGGCGGCGGAGGAGGGGGAGGGCGATAAGGAGGTAGGAGGGAAAAGTGGTGATGTCGAGTACGAGGTGGGAGGATAACGAGGGGAAAGGGGCGAGGGTTGGGGAACAGGTTTAACATCGGTTATATCGCGAGTAAGAGACTCGTTCTCGTACGTCTATTGGATCTCTAGCTTTCGTTTTGCTTTTCTATATTCTACCTCGTATATCTCTTCCCTTTTCTCTCTTCTTTTCCTTTTCTTTTTCTTTTCTCTTTCTTTTCTTTTCCCATAAAATTAGTACTTTGGGCAGAAGGAATCGAACGTTGGTATGTAGAAACAAGAGGTGATTTGTTCCCTTTTTCACCCGCTAATCGAGAACCGAGGAGCTAAACGGGATAAACGAACGATAATATCATTGGAGAAAATCGCGAAGATGACAATTTTCGTTCGATGTCTCCAACTCTTGCTTATTTCGGCCCAGTCCGAATTTTCATATCGGTGTCTCTTACGATCTGTCTACCTATCTACCTACCTACCTACCTACCTAGCAATCAACTAACCAACCAATCTATCTACCTTTCTACCTACCTACCTACCTATCTGCTTATCTACCTGCTTGTCCGTCTGCCTTGCTTACCTACCTACCTACCTACCTACCTACCTACCTACCTACCTACCTACCTACCTACCTACCTACCTGCTTGCTTGCTTTCTTGCCTGCATGCCTGCCTGCCTGCCTGTCTGCCTGCTTGCCTGCTTGCCTGCTGTTACTCCTATTCGAAAAGTAACGTGTCGTGCACCTTACTTCTTTCTTTCTCCTCCAGTACTGTTTTTTACTTTCACTCCTCGTTCTTTGCCTCCTTCGTTATCGATCTTGAAACGGCACGTTTACACGGTAATTTCGGATGTTTCCGACTAAATCGCGCCATCGTTTTCCCTTCGTCCGATACGGCCCCTACCGTTCCGAACTTTTCCATGGCAGCGCAGTCGTCGATACTTTCTACCGAGCATCACAGTCGAAAATCAAAGATTTCCCCCTCTTTCTCTCTCTCTCTCTCGAACGAGGAAAATTGCTTTTTCCTACAGACGGTGATGGAAATTTCGAATATTTACGGACCGTTATTTCTTCCGTACCTCGCCATCTACTATTCGTCGAGTCGTCAAAGAGAGAGAGAGAGAGAGAGAGAGAGAGAATGAGCGAAAAAGGGGGGGGGGGGGGCAGGGCGGAAAATTTAACGATCTTTCGGATCACCAAAGTCGAAATAGACGCTTGGGTCGGTGACCGTAGAGAAACGCGAATAACGTGGTTCGTGAAGAGCAGGTGGAGGAGACGGCGACGACTCGAGTAAGACAGCGTACTTAGGCGTGGAAGGGAGAAAAAAAAGTAAACGGAAAAGAAGGTGGATACCGTTGGCGATATATCGATCGGATCGATTTCCGTAATCAGCCGGAGCGTGGAAAAGCCCGTGAGAGGCGAGATTAAGCGATTCTCGAGAACGCGGAAGCGCAAAGATTTGCCGTGGTCGCGGACGGTGCGAAACATCCGAACGAATGGAATCGACAGAGCCTACGCTCGTCGGGGCCGTTGACCGAAGAAGGAAGGAAGGACGCGCGAGTGTCCCGTGGCGAAAAGGATACCGGCCGGGCTTCGCGAATCACCCGTATTTCCCATATGTCTCGCTTTTATCGAATCTCTCTTTCGATACGCGTTCGGCCACCGGCACGAACGCGATACGAATGTTTCGTTTGTTTCAGAGGAACGAGACTCTCGACTTCTCGTTGAACGTCCCGCAGCATCATCATTCCGCTTCCTACCACCACAATAGCTACGCCATGGCTGACCAAGTAAGTTCCATCGACCGTTCGTCCATTCGATCTCGGCTTCTTCCGTTCAGTCTCGCCCGGATCTCCATTTCTTCTACGGACACGTAAATACTCGTATTCGGGACACGGGACGGGGTGCTTCGCTAACCCACGGATCAAAGGTGGCTAATACTCGCGTGTGCTCGGGATCCGTGACGCGATGGAAAATCGAGGGAGGATCTATTCCGAGAATCGTCGTCCGTTATATACGACGAGAAGCAAAGCGCGTAAGATCCGTTTATACTCACCGGAGTCTAGGATAACGCGGATCCTCGCTCTGCTCCAGGGCAGCTGCAACAATCGATGGGGAAAAAGCTGGGAATATCAGCGAGGGGCTACCGTATGCGAGTACGTAGTCGTAAAATCGGAAGTAGGGTGAAGACGTCGAAGGATACTCGAGTTATTAACCCCTCGTACGGTAACAACCAGTCTCTCTGGTCTCTGGTCGCGAGTTACATTCGTAAAACACCTACAGTGGCTAATCAAGATCGAGTAATTTTACGACGCGCGATTTCTCGCGATTAAATCACGGTGCGAGGGGTTCGTCATTCCGTCTACGAGGAAATTGGATGAAATTTCTAGATTCTTCGAATTTCCCGCACCTCGGAGATAGATACCATCGTGCTGGTGCGTGAGCTTGGACGCGAAGAACTCGCGGTGGTTGCAGCGCAAAGGGTTAATTCGCGAGGCACATCGGATGATCAGAGAGGAGAGGAGAGGAGAGGAGAGGAGAGAAGAGAAGAAGGTTCGCAAAGGCCGATCGGTTATCCGTCGGTCTCGAAGCTGTGTGCCCGCGTGTGCCCGCGTGTGTGTAGGTTGGAGCGTGGTGCAGGTGCAGAGCCGGGTGGAGGCGGAGACGCGTGGGAGTGTTGCGGGGTGCGGGCGACGGGGACCGGCGGAAGCGCGAGCGCCTTCGTTGCCGATGGGGAACGAGCGAAGGGAGCGAAGGGAGCGAAGGGAACGAACGGGAGAATGCGAGCGATCCAAGGGGGTGCAGGAAAGATACGACTATCTTGGTTCGGCCGGAGGATAGGCAGAGGACGAGAAATCGCGGAGGGGTTGGGAAAGGGAAAGGGAACAGGCACGGGTACGGGCACGAGCACTCTGGCACTGGTTAGGATACGGGGGCAGGAGCGTCGAACGGCCGGGAAGGGCGACAGGAAGGGCGACGGGAAGGGCGACGGAAGGGGCGAGTAGGGTATAGAGAGAAAGAAAAGTTTGGAAGCGGCGCGGTGGAGGAAGAAGACGGATAGACGCGCGTAGTCGATTCGGAGATGGAAAGGGAGTAGTAGGTGGAGAGAGGCGGCGGTGCGGGGGTGGAGATGTATGGAGAGGAGGAGTAGGAGGTGTAGGAGTAGTTGAAATAGGACGGGTACGCGTACACAGGGACGGCGACGGGACGTTACGGAACGGGACGGGCTGGGACGGGACGGGACGGGACGGACGGGACGGGAAGCGCGGTGAAAAGGGATGCGGGAGAAGAGAGAGAGAGAGAGGGAGTGTGAGGGAGGGGGAGAGGGAAGGGGCGAAAGTGAAACGATAGAGTAAGAGAAACATCGCGAGGTAAGGGGTAACGCGCGCGATGGGCACGGTGAGGGAAGAGAGGCAGAGGTGTACTCGATCAATAGGCAAGTACGTTCCTTCAAAGGAAAATTCCTGATGCTATTAAATCCAATTTAAAAACTTTTATTCCCCGTGGCCCGACGCGCGCGCTCTACACGGCAAATGTATTTTCCTTCCTTCCCTGCCTATGCGAAACGTTGATAAATCGCTAAAAGGATTTCCAACGATACGACGACGATGGGGCGCCCCGCCGCGACCGATTGGCCGATCCAACGATCGCGAATCGAGCAATCGTGCTTCTTCCCGCCAATCTCTACCTCTCTTTCTCTCTCCCTACTTTCTTCGTCTCGATTCGCTTTCTTCCAAACGCGACACACCGCCTTCTCTTTTACTCCGTTCGTCGATCGAGATGATCTAGACTGCTGCGAAATCGCGCCAACTTCTTTTCCTCCTTCGCAGACGTTTCACACTCCGAGTTTCGGCGACGAGGATTTCGATATCCCGGCCATTCATTCCCACTCGCATCAGCAGCATCAACAGCATCAACAGCATCAGCAGCATCAGCAACATCAGCAGCATCAACATCAGCAGCAACAGCAACAGCAGTCGCAGCAACAGAGCCAACACGATCCGATGCACGGTTACCAAGCGCAGGTGAGTACCGGAGGAGTTGTGCTCGTATCGTTACGTTACCAGCCGTCCTGGCATCCGCTCCGATCATCGGACACCGTCTTTTCAAATTATTTCGCAGATGATACAGACCGGTAGCGTTCAACAGTCTCCGGATGGATTGAATCTTGATCCAGGTGGATACCAGCAATCTCTGTACCTGCAACAGGATCACTCCATGCAGCCGATCAGCGTTGGGTATGTCTTTTCCACGCGAGTCCGTCGATTTTTCAAATTCCCGTTGATCGTCGTCGGTTAATAACCATGTTTGCCCACGTGATCCGTACGAAATCCGTTACCCGTGTTGATCCTATGTTTTTGTTTCTTCTCCCATTCGTAGCACGACATACGCCAACTCGCAGAGTTCGTATACGAGCATGAGTTCTCCGCGACAGCAGCATGGAAGTCAGCAAATAATGTTGCTTCAACAACAACAACAACAACAGCAGCAGCAGCAACAGCAGCAGCAGCAGCAACAGCAGCAGCAGCAGCAAGCTCAGATGCAACAGCATATGCAGTACATGCACTCTCAGCAGCAACAACAGCAACAGTTGCAACAGCAGATACAGTATAGGAGCCCAACGGGCGGTAGTCCATCCGCGATACAAACGAGTTCTATTCCCGAGGCGAACAACAACACTACCACCAGCGAAGATAGCGACGATAGTACGCCTCATTCCGGAATGGTGAGTCTCGATCCATTATTTCGAACGTTTCCTCGTCGAATTAATAAATCAGCGAATCTCGCGCGATTCGCGTTCGCGTGTCTCCAGATTACCGGCATTAAGCGACCCTCGCCAGAACCGACCGACGTTGGAACGAAAAATCAAAGAAAACCGAAATCGCAGAAGAAGAAAAAAAAGAGGGATCCCAATGAACCGCAAAAGTGAGTAACCTTTTCCATTTTCTCCCTTTTTCCTTCCCTCCTTGCCTCTTCTGCTTGCCTTCAAACTCCACGCGTTTCTCGGCTGTGCGACATCGGATGCTCATCCGAGAGTCGATCGAATCGAAAATCGGGAAACGAGAAACGCAATGACGATCCTCGCTATTCGATGCTCCCCGTTAATCGATGATCCTGTCTTTCTATGCGTCGATAACGATGCTACTCCGACTGCTCCAATAGATAACTTGCCTATCCTTGGCCAACCACTCCTACTTTCTTTCTTCTTTCTCGCTTCCCCTCCTTCCTTCCTTCCTTCCTTCCTTCTTCCGCTTTCGTTGCATTATACGCGTACTATTTCTTTTTCAGACCTGTTTCGGCGTACGCTCTATTCTTTAGGGACACTCAAGCCGCGATAAAAGGACAAAATCCGAATGCGAGTTTCGGCGAAGTGTCAAAGATCGTAGCTTCCATGTGGGATGCACTGGATACCGAACACAAAAATGTGAGTACATCCCGGCGAAATGACAATTTCTTCTTTCTTTTCCACCTTTTCCACCTTTTCCATTGCCGCTTCCAACGTCTCCTTTTTCGCTTCTCCTCCTCTTTGTCTCGAAACGCGTGAAAAGCGGATAAAAACGGTTCGTAGGTTTACAAGAAGAAGACCGAAGCTGCGAAGAAGGAATACCTGCAAGCTCTTGCGGCATATAGAGCATCTCTGGTTAGTAAAGGTGCAGCGGAAAACGAACAGCATCAGCAGCAGCAACCGCAACAACAGCCGTCGCCGCAACAGCAACAAGTTCAATACGCGGCTTACGGAAATTACGCCGGGAATGGAACAACCGGTAGCGTTTCGTATCAAGTTTACAGCCCACAACCTCAACCTTCTTCGCCGCAGCAACAACACTCGCATCCTCATTCGCATCAGCAGCAACTCCATCATCAGCAAACGGCGCAACAAATGCAAATAAAGAAATCTCCTCATCATATAACCATACAAGGAAACCCGCAGCAACAACAGACGCAGCAGGTAATAATTCATCTTTCTTCCCTCTGCTCGCGATACCTCTTTCACCGTTTTCCCATTAACGTGCTATTTCTTATTAATATCGTGCCACACTTGCAATTCTATTCGCGTCTAAACAGCTACGGAATCGATCGTCAGGAACGTTTGAAACGCGGATTTAACGCGAGTGCGACAATTGCGACGATCGCTGAAAGGAAGACAAAAGCACGTTTCTTCTTTCTGCGCGCATATGCGAGCATCCTAAACGCATTTCGAATCCCACTTTTATTATTACTCTTCCGACGAAGCTCGATTTTACTATTCTTTTCCCACTCCCCCTTCAGACACTGATGTCCACGTCGATCGCGCAATCGCATATTTCGCAACAACAGCAACAGCAGCAGCAACAACAACAGCAACAGTCGCAGCAACAGCAGCACATGCAACAACAGGTCTCGCAGCAACAGTACATGCAGGTCAGCGATGTAAATTCCTTTAAATTCCTTCCTATTTGTTTTTCAATCCCTCCATCTTCGTTCCGATTTTTCAAACCTGCCAATTTTTTACTCTACAACGTTGAATCCCATTCTCTTTTCCATGCTTCGACGCCCACCATCCCGCTTCTCTTCTGTTCCAGTCTACTTCATGCATAGATATTATTACACGAACAAAATGGAATGTTACTGGCGTTCCACCCCGTGATTATTTATTGCTGCTCGTTAACGAGTACGCGTATCGAATCGGTATGCAAAGTGATTCATAGAGCGCGTACGTTTTCACAGATGCCGCAGCAGCAAGTGCAACAAGTAACGCAACAATCGCAACATCATCAACAGCAGCAACAGCAGTCGCAACAGCAACAACAACAGCAGCAGCAGCAACAGCAACAGCAGCAGCAACAACAACAAATGATACATACGAATCCGCCAAAGAATGATTCGTTGTCGAGTTCTCCGCCGACGGTCAACTCCGTGACTCAGGCTGCCAACATGACCGGTCAAAGGCCATCCTCTAACGCTTGCATACGTCACGGATGCCCAAATCCTGCAGTTGCAAACAGCGAATGGGAAGACGAGTACTGCAGCAATGAATGCGTAGTTAGCCATTGTAGGGACGTGTTCACCACTTGGGTGTCCTCGAATCAAAACCCGCAACAAAATTTTTCCACCGTAAAATAAGGATGAGCCGAGTTGGTTAAAACGCACAGCGATCGTTCGAAATGTTTCCTACCGTTTCTCGTAGTCGTGCAACACGCGAACATGCCTGACGTTCGGTGCGTCATCCGATTCGATATCTTTTTTCCAGGTATATCGATCGCAAGATTGTTTCGTGTTAAATCAAAAGACGAACGACGGATAAAAGCGCGAACCGCTATAACCGATCTATATAGGTTTCGTTTGAAAGACTGCCTTGCGTCGCAGCACGATGCCCGTCAACGCGGACATATATATTGCCGTTTCACTTTTTCACTGACTATTTTTCACCGCGAGGACGAGCAACGTAGCTGCGCAATCGCGAAAGAGTATTAGAATCGCCAAAGTAGCCGATAAAATCGGGCTGTAGTTCGAAGGAATCGATATCTCGTTGTTGCGCGTTCTTTACTAAGCGCGACAGACGCTCACGCGCATACACCCTATCGACGAACTAACGATGAATCGCGAGCGTAAGCCAAGTTGCATTCCTTGAACATCTAGTTAGGGACCGTTTAACGATAGATAACAGTAATTTCGTAGAAATATATTCAGAAATTTAGGGTATGTCTATTTAAAACTGACTTCGCATGGATGCGTCTTATCGGACTAGAAAAAGGACACGAGTTTTCTCAACTAGACACGAAATTGCCAATTAAACGTTGTCAACTTGTTTGCATAATCTATGGGAACGAAGGATGCTCGAATGAAAATTGCGTGAAATCTTATAAAAGAAAAAAGAAAAAAAAGTGGAAAAAGAAAAAAAAAAAAAATGAAATTTCGTATATAAAATTTGCTGACGAGGAAAAGATAATCGTGCGGCGAGGAGAAAAGGAGGAAAAACGAGGGAACTCTAGCAGCCATCACGAATCGATGACGCAACTTATTTTTGTATAATTTTACAAAGGAGTAAAAAGTGGCGGAAATGGTTCGTGCAGATGCTAGGAAGACAGAATGCTAGGAACAGTGAACGCGACGAGACGAGCTACGACCGATTCCCGTCAAAACTAATCGATATAGCCTATTTAACAGTTTTGTTCGTGCGCGTTCGCTCATCTTGTTTTATTTCGTTGAATCGATGTCGATGTTGGCATTATTACCTTTATTAAGGAGTATATACGTTCGAATTTGTAGATGCGATCGTAGCAAACGAAGCAAACAAGTCGGCGTTATTTATTTCGACGAAACGTAGTTTGTACTGACGCGAGTCTTCGGCCGTTCAAAATCGTCGAACGAGAACCAAGTCAATCGGGAAAGAATCTAAAGCCGTTAGATTGCTCGCGAAAATTAGTACGCGCGTACATTTTTCCAAATTTCATCGTCTGTTCTCGGCGATGATTTTGCACGATTTCTGACTCCAGAAACACGTGGAATTAGCAAGTTATTGTTTATACCGCGAACTATTTTTTCTGACGTATGTGCGCGCACACACGCATATAAACGTGTGGTATCGATAAGTTTAAAAAAAAAAAAAAAGAAAAAAATTCCTTTCTTTCTAACAGCATTCTTGTACATACAACAAAAGAATAATATTCCATAGATTTATAAGTCTCTACGATGTAAACATAATCGATAGTGTAATATACCGATAATAACATATACACGCATATAGATATATAGGTATATATATATACACACGCGTGCAGAGTGTGAAAAATATGTGTGTGCATGTGTTCGTGAGCGTGTGTTTATATACATACATGTATATATATGTGTATATATTATATAGAAACGTATAAATATAAATGTAAAAATTAATCGGCGACGTCGTGCATACATGTATACATAAGTACGTACGTACATAATGCATGTATACGTATACGCGACTCACGCCTGTATGCACGTATGTATATATGTATATGCACGCGCAGCAAATAAAAAACGATAAGCACGAGTTGTTATCGTTATTGGATGTAAAACATTACATAGACTATTACGAATTGGCCGAAATTGCCCGAAACGCGAGAAATATCGCGTGTATCTATCCGTGACTGAAAACACGGCCGGGTTAGAATTTTTCTAGAGTTAGTCGTAATCACGTAAATCTGTATACCGAAGAACAAAAAAAAAAAAAAAAAAAAAAAAAAAAAAAAAAAAAAAAAAAAAAAAAAAAAAAAAAAAAAAAAAAAAAAA